TTCAACAGCTCCAACCACCTCCGCTGCCTCAAGTTCAACTCTTTCTGCTTGAACAAGTATTGCAGACTCTTGTGATCAGTGTACACCTCACACGTCACACCATATAAGTAATGCCTCCAAATCTTCAAAGCATGAACAATGGCTGCCAACTCAAGATCATGAACCGGATAATTCTTCTCATGGATCTTCAACTGCCTCGAACCCTACTAGAAATTGGACCTATAGCAACGGTATTTTCCGCAACGGTTATATAACCGTTACGATAGACCGTCTATAGCAACGATAGTAACCGTTCCAATAGGATATCAGATCAACTGGCACATTTTGCAAGTAAACCGTTACATTAGTGAAATAACCGTCGCCATAGGATGTTCTATTGCGACAATTGTTGTAACCGTAATAATAGGACAACCTGTGGCTACGGTTCTTTGCTAAATGGATCTATCGAGACGGTTCAATTTCCCTACTAACTTTACCCAATTTTATTTTTATTTTCATTTTTCCCTCCTTAATTCACTAAACCCTAGACTTCTTTTAAATTTCTAATAGCAAAAAAGATATAGCTGTAGCACCACTCAGATAAAATATTTCTCTAGAGCACATCGAAGAAGAACTCTTTCCATCTCCTGGAACCCCGTGAAAAATACTCTCTCAACATATTAAAGAATACTCCCCCTTTAGAGAAATCTAAGCAAATCTGAAGATACCCAATCCCTAGCCGCCGGAGAAGGAGAAGACTCTTAATTTTCCTTAGCTGCAAAGGTAATACTGATAGTGATGTCCAAAGACTCTTACTTTTTTTTGCAAGTTTATGTTAACATACACTGATTCCCTTAGTGTTTTTGATAAAACTAGTAGGTAGCAATTTTGGTAGCAGTAGGGGGTGGAGAAGCTGCAAATTCGGTGCGATAAGGGCAGAGACTTTAGCTCCTCATGGTAAAGTTATTATTAAAAAAAGCCAAATTTTTATCAAAGGTTAGTACTGTTGTCCGCTTTTCTAAGTAGAAACACTAGAAAATTTATTCATTTTCATTTAGTAAATGTATTGAAATGGTTTGGATCCGAATAAATTTGAATGATTTACTGTTGTTTTATTTTGGATTTTTTGTGGGTCTCTTCTTGTTTGTTCAATTTTTGTCTCTAAATACTAATAGTATTGCTGGGTTAATACCTAATTTATGGATATTTCTATGTGGTAAAAGGATTTTGGATGCCTAATTACTCTTCAGATTTTTTAATGGCGGAGATGTATTGTTAACAAGGACTATTTCTGCATTCTTCTCATGTGGAGATGTATGAATTTTTTCCTACAGGAAATCTTAATCTGAAGTGTATGGATACTATCTAGAAGTATATAGTCTAAACTACATACAGAGAATCAAGAAGAGTGTCCGTGGGAAAAGGAGGAGGGGTGGATTTCATTATCAGTTGAAGAAAAATCACTTTAAAGCCAATAAGAATGAAGAGCGTTGAATGGAGAATAGGCCGATAGATCTTCTGGAGTTTCACTTTAAGGATCTTCTTAAATATTGGAACTTCGATTCCCACAAGGTAATTACATCCATTCTTTCTGTGACCTATTCTCTGCTTGTTTCTTGTTTTACTTTATGTGAAGGATTGATTATAAAAAGGAAAACAGTAAGGTTTCACTTTCTTTCAATTGGCCAAAGAAAAGATTTTTCTGTTTGTAAATTACATTCTGATTGTGTTTTCTTTTCTAGTGAAAATTTGGTTATCATTGACTATTGTTCAGGATGTTACATAGTTGTCCAATTAGCAGTATTTGACATGGTGTAGTATGTGGTTGCTTAGCTCCTGGGTGTCACAAGGAAATGTAGGCTTGTTGTGCTTGATGACTGAATTGACGTCTTGCTTCATACAATTGTTAATCAGCTTGCCAGACCTAGAGATTGAATAAAGACACTAATATTACAATATCCTCCCAAAACCAAAGCAGAACCTTAGAATGATAGCTTCTCTAAACCTTAATGTTTGAAGGACCACGCTGGTTTTACCCCTAAAAATTTCAAAATTAGTTACGAAATTTTAAGAGTTTAAATGGTGCGAACTTATACGAATACAACATATGTCAAGAACACATAATACCATTAGTTAAGAGTTTATCAGTCATTTACTTGTGGCTTTATCATAAAGTTCTATATGTATAAAGAATGTTTCCTTGTGCTTATTTTATGTGTAATTGTGGATTGATTTTCTTCGTGAACACATACAACAGTCCATTAAGATGTGCAGAGTGCAAAGCCATATTAAGAAGGAAGAAAAGCCGTAGTAGAAAAGTTTATTTTCTGAGGCTGTAGGCAATTCCCATGCAGGCAAAAGCGATGTTTATAAGCAAAGAATATATGTATATTGCTGCAGCGTGCATTCACTTACTTTTAAGAATAGAAAAGAAAATAATGTACATGTTTAATTATCACTTTCTTTCCTTCCTTGGATCACTCAATTATATCCCCCTTCCCACTGTATTAGTTTCAGCTTTCGAAACCAAACCCATTTTCGTTTGCTCTTTAGTTAGTTGTATTATGCATTCCTAGTAGGCATAACTGTTGGTTGCATTTTTCTTTGGTCTTTAGTTAGTTGCATTATCACTTTATTGACTTGCTGCTCCCTAGTAGGCATAACTGTTGGTTGCTCTTTGGTTGACTCGTTTATTTGCAGAAAATGTCCACAACCAATACCGAGAATCGAAATAAGTTGAGCTATCTGCACACTGTTGACAAAACAAGTTTTGCTCTAATCCACGAGGTTTGATATTTTCTCTTATTCTTTTTAAAATATGAACTTGCTAACTTTACATGGAAGGATTCTTATACATGTTTTCATGTATCGGATACTTTATCAAGTAAGGACATCTTTGTGGCTACAAGAAAATGAAAACTTGACCGAGTACACAAAGGCTCATATGACAATACAATTAGTAAAATTGTACGAAATTTATAATTTACTTAAACTCTCTTCTCCTCCTCTCTTGTGCTGCTTCTTCTACCAGTTCTCTCTTTCTCTCTCTCGCAAAGTCAAATTAGTCTAGTAGTTTTTTTACTTTGCCTATGGCACTTAGTTGATGCGTAATTCTGTGGTTGTCTTGTTCGCTTCATTACTATGATGCATATTCTTTTGTGTTGCCTTGCAGGCTCTTTGTGACCGGCAACTAGTTGGTTTGGTTTAGTTCTTTGGTTTCTGGCCACTACTGTTGAAAAATTTGCAGATAGGCCTATGTGGAATACTGGATTAGTTTTGCTCATGGAGTTCATAGTGAAGGTCAAATTTGATATTCATTTCACTCATTTATGTGGTAGAATAATTTATTTAGTTGCATATAAGGTAAAAATAAGTGATTTGCATTAGGTTAAATTAGTTGAGTGATTTTGTCGTTTGTCAGTTATCTGGACTAGAGAGCGACAACTATTTCCCCAAAGATGAAACAATATAGAGTATGGAACCAAAGTAAACATGCTATTACCTGTTTATATTTTCCCCTCATCAATAGTTGCAAATTAATTTCCTTTTACATTAAAAAAGAAGTTACTTGAAATACAGAGAAGAGGAAGAAAATGAGGCAGCTGAAAATGATCCCAATCTAATAAGATGATTCTTCCGGTGAAATCACTTCTTGCAGGATAGGGTTGTTCATATTAATTCCATTACATGTAACAGATTTTGAGTTTAGTACTGTTTATAATGCCTCTTTTATTGTTTTCTTGGCTTTGAGAAAGGGATGGGCTTTGCTTTTCCAAATAAAAAACCCCATATCCGAATATGTATAGTCATTATCGATAATGCAGAATTGAAATAGCTCATATTTTAGTGTTAAAAGTGAGGATCCCTTTTTATCTTTGAGAAGTGTAGTATATTTTTAGCCGCTCTTAAACATAATAGACAACAAAAGGTATATATTTTGTTAGTCCACGTTCTTTTTTCATTAGTTGTAGATTTTTTTGAATATGAATCATGTCAAGAGAATCTGTTGTTGCTTCAGAATTGCTTCATAAAATATTTTGCAGATAATTATAAAGCAATGTTTGCTTTGGGATTGAGGATTCATATACTGTTCTTAACAAGTTTGATATTGAAGCTAGTTGTTGCTGCAGTTATCTACAGAATATTCAAACTTTTTTGCCTTTGTTTAAATCTTGAACACTCGAATTTCAGAGGCATTGAAGATTATATATAATGAAAATGAAAAGTGAAAATATTAGAGTTGGTTCATGGCCTAGCTTGACTGACTTCTTTTGAATGTCATGTGCTTTTCTTTTTTACTTGACACTTTGTCCTATGAGCATTCTTAGACCGAATTCTCTTCAAGGGTAATGACTTTATTAATTTATTCTCTTCTGTAGGTGGAGTAGATCAAGAAATGGAAGATGAAAGAAGTGAAGATCTAGACCTTAAGATGAATTCTGAATTGCTATAGATGAATGTTCAAGGAATCTTTTGTTATCAACATTATTTGAAACTTATTATTCTCTTGAAATGTATTAAACTTATGCACTTGGGGTAGAACATTTTGCTTTATCGATATTATTAGCTTGTTGAAAAATTTAGATTATTAATGGTTTTATTTTTGTTTTATTTAAATTTTAGTTTATTATAATTTCTTATATTTATAAATTTTACAATAGGGGTGATATTTTTGTTTCAACTGATCTGTTACAATAGCCTACTAGAACCGTTGCAATAGAACACAAATGACGTTCTACTAGACATGTAAACCGTTGCAATAGGTGTTGTAAACCGTTCTAACAGTTCTATACATCGTTTCAAAACCGTTGCTATAGCTTAAAGAAACCGTTGTTATATCAATAAACAACCGTAACAATAGCTTACATAAGTGGTGCATTAAATAATATGGTAACGGTTATGAACCGTTGCATACACAATATAGTAACGGTTTAAAACGGTTCCAGCTGAAACGAATAATCGTTCCAAAAGAGAAAGGAAAAACCGTTGCGGTAGACGGCTCTATAGCAACGGTGACGGAAACCGTTGCAAGAACCGTTCTTATAGCTCTATTGGCACACGAGCTGATGGAACGGGCTCTAAACCGTTCCAATAACTCTATGGCAACGGTTTTACCATCTGTTGGAACGGTTTTCCATGCGTTGCCATAGACCAATTTTTCAGTAGTGGAAGCATAAGCAATGACTCTGCCATCCTGCATCAATACCGCACCAAGCCCAATACGGGAAACATCACAATAAATTGTATAAGACCCTGAACCTGTGGGCAAAACCAATATCGGTGCCGTAGTGAGAGCTGTCTTGAGCTTTTAAAAGCTCTCCTCACACTCGTCTGACCATCTGAACTGGGCACCCTTTTGGGTCAACCTGGTCATCGGGGCTGCTATGGATGAAAATCCCTCTACGAACCGGCGGTAATAACCTGCTAACCCCAAGAAACTCCGAATCTCAGTCGTTGATGCTGGTCGAGGCCAGTTCTTGACTGCCTCAATCTTCTTCGGGTCCACCTGAATACCCTCTGCTGATACAACATGACCCAGAAATGCAACCGAACTCAACCAGAACTCGCACTTTGAGAACTTAGCATATAACTGACTATCCTTCAGAGTCTGAAGAACCACTCTGAGGTGTTGCTCGTGCTCCTCCTGGCTGCGGGAGTACACCGAAATATCATCAATAAAGACTATCACGAACATGTCCAAATATGGCCTGAACACTCGGTTCATCAACTCCATAAATGCTGCTGGGGCATTGGTCAACCCAAATGACATGACCAAAAACTCATAATGTCCATACCGAGTGCGGAATGCTGTCTTAGGGACATCAGACGCCCTAATCCTCAGCTGATGGTAGCCAGATCTCAAGTCTATCTTGGAAAACACCATCGCACCCTGAAGCTGGTCAAACAAATCATCAATCCTCGGCAGTGGATACTTGTTCTTTATCGTCACCTTGTTCAATTGCCGGTAATCAATGCACATCCTCATCGATCCATCCTTTTTCTTCACAAATAACACTGGCGCACCCCAAGGAGAAACACTAGGCCTGATAAAACCCTTCTCTAGCAAATCCTGCAATTGGTCCTTTAACTCCTTCAACTCTGGCGGGGCCATGCGATACGGCGGAATAGAAATGGGATGCGTGCCTGGGGCCAGATCAATACAGAAATCTATATCCCTGTCGGGCGGCATACCCGGCAGGTCTGAAGGGAAAACCTCGGGGAACTCCCGAACAATAGGAACATAATCAATAGAAGGGACCTCTGTGCTGGAATCACGAACATACGCCAGATAAGCTAAACACCCCTTTACGACCATACGTCGAGCCTTCACATATGAGATAACACTGCGGGTGGCATGACCTGGGGTCCCTCTCCACTCCAATCGGGGTAAATCTGGCAAAGCCAAGGTCACGGTCTTGGCGTGACAATCCAAGATAGCATGATACGGGGAAAACCAATCCATCCCTAATATAACGTCGAAATCCACCATGTCTAAGAGCAATAAATCAACACGGGTCTCAAGACCCTCAAACACTACCACACAAGAGCGATGAGCTCGGTCGACCACTATAGAATCACCCACCGGTGTAGATACATAAACAGGAATACCCAAAGCATCACTAGGCATAGCCAGGTGGGGTGCAAAATAGGACGACACATATGAATACGTAGACCCAGGGTCAAATAGCACTGAAGCATCCCTATCACAGACCAGAATAGTACCTGTAATAACAGCATCTGACGACTCAGCCTCTGGCCTGGCTGGCAAAGCATAACACCGGGGCTGGGACCCACCTCCCTGGGCCATGTCTCTGGGACGATCGGCTACTGGCTGACCCCTACCTCTGCCGGTCCGAGCTCCACCTCTACGGTCTCTACCTCTACCTCTATGATCTCTACCCCCGCCTCTAGCTGGCTGGGCAAGCTGTGGATCACCTGGTGCCTGAATCATGGGGCGAGGACCCTGCTGCTGAGAGCTACCCGAGGCTCGAGGGAAAAATCTGACAATGTGACCGGGGTCACCACAACCATAACAAGCCCTCGGTTGCTGAGACTGCTGCCCTGTCGACCGGAATGTCCTCCCCGAAAGCTCTGAAGTGGAGGTGCACTGATGGGCTACTGATCAGAATAATGCTACTGAGAACCACCATTGCCTGGAGTACCATGAGAAACCTGGAGTGCTGACTGAAAGGGTCTCGGTGAATGGCCTCTACCATAAGAATCCCTACCTCCAGACGAGGTACCACTGAACCTACCAGAATGACGAGGCCTCTTATCCGACACCTGACCACCTCCTCGTGCAAGAGCCATCTCCACTCTACGGGCCGCTTTGGCCGCCTCCTGAAAAGAAATCTCACTACCAGCTCCCATAGCCATCTGGAGACGGATCGGCTGAATCAATCCATCAATAAACCTCCGTACCCTCTCTCGCTCTGTGGGGAGTATAACAATAGCATGGCGTGCCAAATCAATGAACCGAGTCTCATACTGTGTAACTGTCATGGAGCCCTGCTGGAGGCGCTCGAACTGCCTGCGTAGTGCCTCCCGCTGAGTGAGTGGGAGAAACTTCTCCAAAAACAACTCTGCAAACTGATCCCATGTGAATGCTGGAGACCCTGCTGGTCTAGATAGGCAATAGTCCCTCCACCAAGTCTTGGCGGATCCTGCAAGCCGGAAGGTGGCAAAATCGACCCCATTGGTCTCCACAATACCCATAGTCCTATAGATCTCATGGCAGCTGAATAAGAAATCCTGGGGATCCTTTGATGAAGCACCGCTGAATGTGGTGGTGAAGAGCTTGGAGAACCTATCAAGCCTCCACAAAGCATCTGAGGACATAGCCGCTCCATCGCCGGTCTGAGTCACAATAACCGGCTGAACCGCCACAGCTGGCTGAGCCACTAGAACCTGAGTCTGGGGAGCTACCTGCTCCGGAGTACGTGTAGCAGGAGTCTGAACCCTTTATCCAGCCTGAGAAGTGGCTGGTGCTACTGGAAGCCAACCCGCTCAAGTGACGCTCTCCACAAAGCCTACCAATCTGACCAGAGCGTCCTGAAGAACTGGGGTGGCTATGAACCCCTCTGGGACCCGAGCTGGGCCCACCGGAGCTGCTGGGGCTGGAGCCTCCTCATCATAATCAACATGAGGATCCACCTCTGGGACTGCTGCTCGGGGCTGAGCTCTGCCCCAGCCTCGGCCTCGGCCTCTGCCCCTCGTAGGAGCTGCTGCTGGGGGCTCGGGGTGCTGCGTGGTAGAAGAGGAAGCACGTGTTCTCGCCATCTACGAAAGAACAGAGTAGAAAGACAATCAGTATTTGAGAAACAGAACCGCACGACAGGAAAGAACGAAAATGAAATTTTTCCTAACTCCGTAGCCTCTAGGGGATAAATACAGACGTCTCCGTACCGATCCCTCAGACTCTACCAAGTTTGTCCGTGAGTAGCGAGACCTATGTAACCTAGAGCTCTCATACCAACTTTGTCAAGACCCGGATTTCCCACCATCGGGATCGTGATGGCGCCTACTGTAGGAGCTAGGCAAGCCAAACATTTAAACATTTTCGGATAACAATATAACAATAATAAAATAACGAGTCTTTAAAAAAATGCGGAAGTCTTTCAAAACATAGATAACTGAAAACCCAAAATGCGGAAGTCTAATATTTCACTACCCAAGACTGGAGTCGCTATCTCACGAACTACTAAAGAGTGCTACAAACAAGTCAGAATAGAAATACATAAATATCTGTCTCGGTACAATGGAAACAAACTGAAAAATAGAAAGGGACTCCGGCCTGCGAACGCCAGCTAGGCTACCTCGTAAGTCCCTGGACTGAAGTCAGCTCCCGATCGATATCCTACTGCTGTGGTCCAAAAGCTGCTCCGGTACCGTGATCTGTGCAAAAGAGCACAGAAGTGTAGCATCAACACAACCGACCCCATGTGCTAGTAAGTGCCTGGCCTAACCCCGGCGAAGTAGTGACGAGGCTAGACAGGACTACCAAATCAACCTGTGCAGTTCAATGTATATATATATGCAGTACAAGGAAAGAATACAGAAGTTTAACAGTTAAGAGAGAGGGAAACATACTATGGGGAGGTACAGTCCGGAGATAAAGTCAACAATTTAAATAAGAAACAAGGCAATAACAACAATTAATGAGAGCAGGACAATCAACAGTTGCACGGCATCAACCTTCGTGCTTTTACTCTCATTCTCACCAAAGCAATCAAATAAAGTGCACGGCATCACCCTTCGTGCTTTCCCTCACGTAACTCTCATATCATGGCACGGAATGATCCTTCGTGCAAATATAACCAAAACATGGCACGAAATGACTCCTTCGTGCAAAAATAATCAAAATATGGCACGGAATGACCCTTCGTGCAATTATAATCAAAACATAGCACGGAATGACCCTTCGTGCAAATATAATCAAAACATGGCACGGAATGACCCTTCGTGCAATTATAATCAAACAATAGCACGGAATGACCCTTCGTGCATTATCACTCTTCCTCACCCAACCAACAATCAACAACCAAACGGGCGAGGGAATAAGCAAGTACTAAGAAATGTCCCGGCAAGGGAAAACACAAT